TTCAAACGTGCTCACTCACCCACCTTCCGCTCCCTTTTTCAGACTCCTCCACCTGTCACTGCCGTCTCCTTTCCAAAAAAAACCATGCTTTTTCATCACCACCTCAACCACATCAACTTTCGCGCGTTTTCAAACCTTGCCACAAAACAGATCCTCCACGGACTTCTAGCCTCACTTCCCTCTCCTACCTCCAACCTAGGGCCACCTTGCCTTGACTGTGCACACAGCAAGCTTCGTGAACAACCCCATTCCCCCACTGAGTCCATCTCAACTGCACCTCTCGATCGCATGCACATGGACCTTTGTGGTCCAGCTCCTGTTCGTTCTCGTGGCGGACACTTCTACTTTCTTGTCATCATTGATGACTATTCCCGCTATGTGTCTGTCCACCTCCTCTCCTCCAAGTCTGAAGCCTCAGCCGTCATCACTGAATAGGTCAAGCAGGCTCATAAACACTTCAAAACCACCATCAAGGTTCTTCACTCTGACGGTGGCGATGAATTCCAAAACAACACTCTCAAAGCATTCTGTTCCACTAAGGGTATCCGCCAGACCTTCACTCTCCCAGACAGTCCCCAACAGAACGGTGTTGCTGAGAGTCGGAACCGCATCTTAGTGCAGATTGCTCGCTGCCTCCTCACTCACGCCTCCGCCCCTCCCTCTCTTTGAGGGTACGCCATGCTCCACGCTACCGCCCTCCACAATTTCCATCCTCATCCTCATCACATCCACACCACCCTCGCTGAGTTGTGAACGGGTCAAGAGCCATCCGCCCGCCCTCTACGTGTATGGGGGTGCACTTCCTATGGCCTCTTCAACTCCCAAGCCCGTCGTGCAGCTCGTGGAAAACTTGCTCCCAAAACAATCACGTGCGTCTACCTCAGGCATAACTCAGATTCGCCAGACTATCTCTTCCTCCATTTTTCCACCAACAAACTTTACCGCAGCCGGGACGTATTCTTTGATGAGTATCGCCTATTCTATCCCTCCTCCAAGGCTTCCCCCTCTCCTCCACCTCCTTCTCTTACTTGGGCTGACTTTGACAGTATTCTTCCTCCCTGCGGAGATGACTACTGCAACGGGAGCTAGAATATGGGCTAGGCACGGGTGCTCGTGTGATCTCTGCGTTCCTTGGTCGTTTTCCTAGTGCACACAATGCTTGCTGGTTCACAGGGCAATTTGGCAAGAGTTTCACTAAGGAAATTTGGCAACAATGATAGCAACAACATTGGCATGCAAGACTACATCAAGACCTAGCAAGGCTGCTGGTCGACTTCCAGCGCAGCACGGTCGACCGCGTGCCAGCACGACTTGGTCGACCGCGCTCCAGAAGAGCAAAGTCGCAGCTTGCCAACGTTGCAAGTCCACGATGTGCCAACGCTGCAGCAAGTCAGCTGCACAGCGTTGCACCCGCAGGACAACGATGCACCTTCTTCGCAGGTGCGCGCAGCTGGTTGGTGCACAGCTCCTTATCACGTGCACAGCGCAGGCGCCCAGCTCGACTCCACGCCAGCGACTGCGCCCACCAACCACGCCGACCTCGAGATACCACTTCCGAGGTCGGCCTCGCCAATATCACTTGGGCGACTGTCACGTGCCTCCGCAGAACCTCGTCACCCAGGTAATCCGGTCGACTGGGCAACCACGTCGACCAGCTGCTTCTTTACGTGCCCGTCGACCACCCAAGTCGACGACCACCTCCGGTCGACCTCGCCAGGTCGACCTCACCCTTGGTCGACCAGCTCCAAGTCGACAACCTTCCAGGTCGACCAACTCCAGGCCGACCAGCACAGCAATCAGCCGACCACACCAAGTCGGCTGCCCCAAGTCGGCGTCACCAAGTCGACGCTTTCCACCGGTCGACATCCCGAGTCGACCACACGAAGGTCAGCGTCCAGGAGTAGGCGCCAGTCGTAGTGGCCCCCGTGCAGGTCGAACTCCTTGTGGACCAGCTCGCCCACTACTGCAGGTCGGTTGCACTCCCCCGTACACCCGACCACAAAGTCAGCTCCGCCCAAGCGAGGACAGGGCCTTCCACAACTCCCGTTGACACTCCCGCCACTCCATCTCCTCCTCTTCCTGCTCCCTCCACCGTCCCTGACCCGCCACCACCCACTTCCCCCTCCAGCACCACGCAGTTTCCTCCGCTCCTTCCCTCCCCCTCCCCTCCCCCACCGGCTCCCCCTCTTTCCTCTCCTCCTGCTCCTGCTCCCGCTCCTCCTTCCGAGTCTCCTCCTCTCGAAACCTACCACCGCCGTCCTCCGGCCCCTGCTCCTCCTGTTCCTGCCCCAGCTCCTGATGCTCTTGCTCCCACTACCACCTCAGATACCGATACTACTCCTCCAGCTCCGCCTCCCTCCCCCATCGCTTCTCGCACACGCTCTCATACAACCCCAAAGCAGCTCTCCCTTTCCGTTCGCATCTCCCTCAATCCTCCTGTCGGGGGTGATTATTCTCTCATGCCCTCCCTCCTTGAAGACAAGCATGAGGAGTTGATTGATATTGACTCAGCCATCCACGCGCCTTGCTTCCTCTTTCCAGATATCGTAGACTCTCCCACCCTCAAGTTCTCCGACAACCCCTCCACCCCCACACCTCTCACCTATGCTGAAACAGTCTCTGGTCTTCACGCCGCCCAGTGGTTGGGGGCCATTGTCGCGGAATGTGAGGCCTTCATTCACACGGGAACTTTCACAGGTGTCAACATTGTGAAGGAAAATGGGTTTTTCGGGTAAAACAACTTCCAGGCGAAATTCCTGTCTTCAAAGCCTGGTACTGTGCCAAGGGATTTACCCAAAAGCATGGACTGGACTTCTTTGAGACATTCTCTCCCAACGCCAAACCTCCCACACTTCGCACCCTTCTCGATGTTGCTGCTCGATATGGCAAGGTTGACTGCATGGATGTGTCTTCTGCGTTTCTGCAAGGGATCCTTCGAGAGGAAATCTATATGGAGCGGCCCAAAGGATTTCCACCTCCTTTTCCACCAGGCACTGTATGGAAGCTGAATCGGCCAATGTATGTCATCGAGCAAGCACCCCGGGAATGGCACAACAAGCTCAAGAGCACCTTAGGGTCCCTTGACTTCCACCCATCCACCTCTGACCCCAGCCTCTTCATCCGAGCAGCACCATCCCGCTTCTTGATCCTGGTTTATGTCGATGACACCATCCTTGTCACCAAGGATCAGACTGAGTTGGCAGCAGTCAAAACCGCACATGGTGAGGAGCTGGCCATGAAGGATCTTGGGAAGCTGACGAACTATTTGGGCATGGAAATCACACGTGATCACGCGGCCCGCACCATCACCCTCTCGCGGAAGTTTTACATCAACAACGTTCTGACGAGGTTCAAGATGCAGGAAGCAGCATCAATGCCTACCCCACTCTCTCCGCAGCACCAACTCACTACACCCTCTGTTCCCTCACCCGAGCCCTGTGATGAGCCTTACCCCGACTCGTTGGATCCCTCATGTACGCGATGATGTGCACCCGACCAGACTTGGCCTATCCAGACAGTGTACTGTCTCGCTACGTTGCACCTGGTCGCTTCACTCGCCACCACTGGTCTGCCGCCAAGCAGGTTCTTCGCTATCTCAAAGGCACACAGGATTATGTGCTCACACTTGGTGGCTCTTCCCCTGTTCGCCTTGAGGGGTACAGTGACTCATCCTATGCTGATGGACAGAGTGATCGGTGCTCTTCCCAAGGGTATTGCTTTACCCTTAGCAGTGGGGTTGTAAGTTGGCGCTCCACTCGGTCGTCCTCAGTCTCACTGTCGAACTGTGAGGCAGAGCTGTATGCCGGGGCCATGGCTGCCCAGGAGGCTCGTTGGCTCTCCTTCCAGCTGACAAAACTGGGGTATCCTCAACCAAGCCCAACACTTTGGTGTGACAACGAGAGCACCATTCATCTCACCAAGAACCCCGTTTTCCACAGCCGCACCAAGCACATTGAAGTCCGTCACTACTTTCTTCGTGAGATGGTGCAGCATGAGCAGCTGAAGGCTGAACACATTGCCTTCGACTGCAACCTTGCTGACTTGTTGACCAAGTCACTTGTTCGCCAGGGCCATTACCGCCTCCTCTCGTCCATGGGTGTTGGGCCTCCCTGTGGCTCATATGTTGCAGCCTAGGGGGTGTGTTAAAAATAGGCTGTCAACACTTTGTGTACTATATTCTATATCTTGTAGATTATTTGTAGGTTGGGTGTAGATTGTGATCCCAACCCTATCTGGTTGGGATTCCCTCATAATCCAGCAAATCTGCCAACTCACCATTGGAGATTTGATAGTATTCCCATCTCATCCTTTCCCTAGCTTTGCTCAACCCAACCTTGTTTGTACTTAAGGCCTAGTGCCTTCTCTACAAATCAATCACTTCAGCTCCATTTCTGTCAAGGGGCACAAGGGGAGAAAGGGCGTTGGGCGCGTGAGAGAGGGGCAGGCTCAACAGGAAATGCTGCAGCCTCGAGGAGCCAAAGAAGCAAAGGAACAGACAGACCATTTAGAAGATTGACTGGTGAGTGGCTTCATGTAGGCACCAGCGGACAGTGCTGGTTCGAGCAGCACGTGGCAGGCTGGCTGGATTACCAGTCAGTCACGATTGAGTTAAAAGATAGTTGGTGAGATGAGATGGTATCGCATGAGGTCACAAAGAGGTTTTTTAAAGCTTTGAGACGTCCCAAAACTCCATCATTATCACGCGGAATAATAAAGTCTCAAAACGTTTCTTAATGTTTTGAGTCTTTTCTACGGCTGAAGTTGGTGAGACGGTCATGGCCATAAAGTGATTTCTTAGTCCTGGTGAAACTCTGACAACGAGCGAACGCTGGTGAGATGAGTTACATACAGGATTGGCTAGACTATCAGTTTGGAACGATTGTTGAGAGTGATGGTTACAACTGTAAAGGCTGGTGTGATGGTTACAAATGGTAAGTTGGTTACAGTTCAACAAGGTTGGTAATTTTGTTACAGTTCAACAAGGTTGGTAATTGTGTTACAGTTCAACAAGGTTGGTGAGTTCCCCCAGAGAGATTGGAAGTGTGCTCGAGAGATTGTTGTCACTCAAATGGCTGGAAGGGGGGAATTGATGGGGTGGCAATGGGGGTGGATACAGGATAGTATTGGGTGTAGGAAAGAGGAATTGCAGGGGATGAGGGAGAGAGGCATGGAGGGGAAGAGTAGTTTTGAGGCGCTTCAAAACTAGAAACGGCAGGGGATGAGGGAGAGAGGCATGGATGGGAACAGCTCGATTCTAGAATCTTGAGGCGTCGCAAAACTCAATGGATGAGAATGAATGAGGGAGTGACATTTGAAGGGAAAGAACTCGATCCTAGCAAAGCCAGAAGAAAACTTTTAGGGGGGAAAAATGAGGCGGATGTACTCGATTTGTCTTGATGGTTGCAACTTGTAACTATCAACTCCTCATCTCAACCCTACGTCTCTCAAAACTATGTGTCGCAAAACCCTGGAGACCTCCCTTCCCTTGCCCCAACATTCAGACGCACAAGTACTGAGTAACTGCAGGCTCCTCATGTTACTTGTGACTCCCTTCCATTGAGTCACAAGTACTGAGTAACTGCAGGCTCCTCATGTTACTTGTGACTCCCTTCCATTGAGTCACAAGTACTGAGTAACTGCAGGCTCCTCATGTTACTTGTGACTCCCTTCCATTGAGTCACAATACTGAGTAGCTGCAGGCTCCTCACGTGGTCCACAATTTTGTCATTCTAGTTGACCGAACCATTCAATATGTAGGCTCACTCACGAATACTGCAGAAGATTCACAAGTACTGCAAACACTCACAAGTGCTGCACACTCACAAGTGCTGCACACACTCACAAGTGCTGCACACACACTCACAAGCACTGTACACACTCACAAGTACTGCATACTCACAAGTACTGCACACACTCACAAGTACTGCACACTCACAAGTACTGCACACTCACAAGTACTGAAGGCTCTTCATGTGCCCCCACGATTCGGGAATGGGCCCTGACAGACCCATGTCCGTTAGATGGCTGTGAGGGGGGCGAGCATGAGAGAGAGAAGGGGGGCAGGCGATGGGCAATGAGAAAGAGGGATGGGGCTCGACAGACACGCGTCCATCAGATAGCTGGAAGGGGGACGAGGGGCAGTAATAAAAATCAAGAATCGTGGTCCGCTTGAATGAATTTGGTGTCCTGTTGGCCAGTGATGGTGACACAGAGAGGGAGCGTAGTTACTTCTTAAGAGAGAAAGGAAGGGGAAGGGGAAGGAGAAGAGAGAGAAGGAGAAAGAGGTGCAGGGTGGCTGCATGGTTCTCTTGAATTTGGTGTGCAGTTCGCCCAGTGGTGGTGACACAGAGAGGGAGAGTAGTTACTTTTTGAGCAAAAAATGAAGGGGAAGGGTAAGGGAAAGGCAGGAGCAAAGAGGAGAGAAGAGGGGAGAGGGGAAGGGGAACGAAGAGTATGACAGAGGTGTGATGGTTCGTTGATACTTTGAGGCTTAAACAACTGCACAGCACAACGGATTCAAAGAAGCAACAAAAGCCATACTCAGCAGGGTGGGGAGGTATGCAGGTGAAAGAGGCGTACAGGTGGGTGAGGAGGCGTACAGGTGGGTGAGGAGGCGTACAGGTGGGTGAGGAGGCGTACAGGTGGGTGAGGAGGCATACAGGTGGGTGAGGAGGCGTACAGGTGGGTGAGGAGGCGTACAGGTGGGTGAGGAGGCGTACAGATGGGTGAGGAGGCGTACAGGTGGGTGAGGTTCTTGAGTTGTGAGAAGGACTCCGGCAGCGACCCACCCATGGGGTTGGAGTAAAGCTTTCTGTGGGAGAGAGGAGTCAGACCAATAGGTAGACAAGGAGGCAGGTGGATGAATCGGCTGATGTAGAGAAGAGATGAATGAAAGTCAAGACGAGATCGGCCAATGGATGAATGAAACTGCCTTGAGAGATGAAACATGGAATGTGAGATTGAGCGTTCAAGCGCCTTGGTTGAGCGTGGAGTTTAGAAGGACCAGAATCGGATCAACCTGAGTGTAGTCCCGAGAATGCCAATAAAAAATGTTCAGGGTAAGAGCTTGATGGTGCGAGCTACAAGGGCGGCCAAACCTCTTGATGGTTGAAGAGGTCGGGGTACCAAAACGTGGCATGTCTCTTGAGACGTCTCAAAAGGTATGTCCAAAACTTGACCAATTACTTCAGAACATCATAGAGGTGAGCTGAATAACCGACATCATGTGGTGGGATTGGTCAGCTGGTGGTGGGTGAGAGACACTAATAGAAGCAGTCACACTTGCTAGAAGTAGGAGATTGCATAGGGACTCATACTTTCTGGTACACTAGTGCTAGAAAAGTAGCATAGAACTGATTGATTAAGGAAGAGAGAAGCTGACCTTTACAAACAAGGCCCTTGAGATGAGATAAGCAAGGGAAAGGATGGGGCTGGGATTGACTAGTGCTAGAAAGGATGGGGCTGGGATTGACTAGTGCTAGAAAGGATGGGGCTGGGATTGACTAGTGCTAGAAAGGATGGGGCTGGGATTGACTAGTGCTAGAAAGGATGGGGCTGGGATTGACTAGTGCTAGAAAGGATGGGGCTGGGATTCCAGCCAGATCTCCAATGTTGAATTGGCAGATTTGTCGGGCTACTAAGGAAATCTCATCCAGATACGGTTGAAATAAACACCCAATCTACGAATAACTTGCGTGATATTATATACAGTACACACATGTTGACAGACTAATTCTAACACTAGGCACCACACTCACACACAGTGGCACCACACTCACACACAGTGGCACCACACTCACACACAGTGGCAGCGCACTCACACACAGTGGCAGCGCACTCACAGACAGTGGCACCACACTCACACACAGTGGCACCACACTCACACACAGTGGCAGCACACTCACACACAGTGGCAGCACACTCACACACAGTGGCAGCACACTCACACACAGTGGCAGCACACTCACACACAGTGGCAGCACACTCACACACAGTGGCACCACACTCACACACAGTGGCACCACACTCACAGCTGCTGCAGCCTGGTCATGCTGCCAAAGAAGGACGGCAGAGGGCCCGAGAAGGAGTTGTTGTTGGCGATTCTGCCATCCATGCGGTGAAGTGAAGGGGAGGTGCGAGGGGGAGGTGGGAGAGGGGAGGTGGTAGAGGGGAGGTGCAGGAGCGGGGATGGTTAAAGGAGAAAGAAGAATATGGGATAGGAACAAGCAAGAACGGACACTTGCGAGCTTTCTCGGAACTACTCAAATAGCTTCTGAGGCACTGTTTGAGCAGACTACTATACTCTAGGATTCAGGTCTAATGAAGAAAAACAATGGCACCACAATACCACCTTTCAGGCACGTAAAAATCAGCAGCAACCAGTGGGCAGAGGAATGGCATGGAGTGGAGTAAAGCGCATTGGTGACGGACAAGAGCAGACAGGCAGATGCCTGCTGCATGAGGAAGTGGAAGGAAGGGAGAGATGACTGGCAAGAGGGAATGCAAAGGGATGTGTGGCAAGAGGGAGTGGAGAGGGATGTGTGGCGATGAAAGGGATGTGTGAGAAAAGGCACAGGAAGGAAGGGAGGGAGGACTGACAAGAGGCTGAGTTTGGTGAGTGCTGAGAAGTTTGCCGGCAGGGAGTTGGAAAATCCGTTGTGCTCCAGTCGACTGGTGGATGCACACAGCAGGAGATCACGGTCCACCCCCCAACACGCACGCACGCCATTCTCTACCACTCTCGACCGTAACCGACCACACCACACACAGACAGACACACACAGGTGCAGAACACCAAGTAGACACAGAAACGAACACACACAACCATGCATGCACAAGCCCACACGGCCATAAACGAGAAGAGGGGTGTTGACATGAGATGAGGAGTGCTGTTGAGAGGACCCACAACTGATTCACATTTCATCCGTCTGCGGCCTCTGTTGGTCTAGGCGCCAATTTGTCGTAAACCTTTCCCTTCAGTTGGTCCTAGCTTGAAATCACTTTTGAGAACTCTCAGAAGTGATTTTTCCGTCTCCGGCCTCTGTAGACCTCAAGTTGAGTTGAGACCAAGCGTCACCCACCCACGGCACGGGTAAGTCAAAAGTTCATCTAACCTCATTCCACACCGACTTGAAATGGTTTCTTGTTGTCTTGCCCAACTGGTATTCGCCAGCTGTGTCTCTCTGTGTGAAAATGAGTATTATACAGCAACAACACTATGGGTGTTCACTCTACAGTTGACTGCTACTAAGTTTGGGAGCGGTTTAATGCCAAGACGACTGTGACTCATGCTGGCATCATTCAATTCTTCTTAGCCCTAGTATGTTACTAGTTCAGCGCTTCCCTGCCTCCTTGCCTCTCTTCATACCTCCCTCCCTCCTGCCCTCCCCCTCATCACTCTCCCAGCAACGCACAGGGTGTGAAGGTGCTTGAGGCTTGTGATCGACGCGGGCAGCATGCCATAGAGCCTGTTGCCACCCACATTGCTGCACACGCACATGCACACGCACATGGAGATGGAGGGCAGGAAAGGGAGGGAGAGGGCTTTTTACTTGACTCAGCGACTGCCAGCTAGGCTGCTGCCGCCCACGTTGCTGCACATGCACATGGGGGATAAGACGGGGAGGGAGGGGATTTTTCAGTCTGCTCAATCACTGCCAGTAAGGCTGCTGCCGCCCACGTTGCTTCACGCACACACGGGCAGGGCAGGATGGGGTGTTGCTGCTGGGTCAGGGCAGGGCAGGGTGGGGTGGGGTGCTGCTGCTGGGTAATCTCGGAGCCAAAGGAAGGAGTAGCGCTGTTTGAGAAGTGCTGTGTGATTGTAACGAGTAGGGGCTGCTTGGGGTGGGGGTGGAGTGGAGTGAGTGAGGCTGCATGAGTGGGAACCCATTGCTGCGAAGGCTGTTGGTTCACTGGGGAAAGGAGGGGACGGACTCGGGTGCTTGGAGGAGTGAGTCAAGAGGGGAAGGAAGAACAAGGGAGGACAGACAAACGTGGAGAGGTGACTATTGAATCGACTCAGAAGTGACCTTAATGATTGTTGCTAGGCTGGGGAGGGGAGGAGACAGACGAGTGCGAAAAGAGGAGGGAGTGAAGAGCAGCAGGCAGAACGAGGAAAGCAGGCATGAAAGGGACACAGTGAAAAGAAGTGGGCAGTTTTAGAGCAACAACCATGTCATGCGCCACACGGGGCGTATCATGTCCTTCACGGGGCGTATCATGTCCCTCACGGGGCGTATCATGTCCTTCACGGGGCGTATCATGTCCTTCACGGGGCGTATCATGTCCTTCACAGGGCGTATCATGTCCCTCACGGGGCGTATCATGTCCTTCACGGGGCGTATCATGTCCCTCACGGGGCGTATCATGTCCTTCATGGGGCGTATCATGTCCTTCACGGGGCGTATCATGTCCCTCATGGGGCGTATCATGTCCTTCACGGGGCGTATCATGTCCTTCACGGGGCGTATCATGTCCTTCACAGGGCGTATCATGTCCCTCACGGGGCGTATCATGTCCTTCACGGGGCGTATCATGTCCTTCACGGGGCGTATCATGTCCTTCACGGGGCGTATCATGTCCCTCACGGGGCGTATTATGTCCCTCACGGGGGCGTATCATGTCCAGGGCGTCTCATCTCACATGGCGAATTATCTCCCAAGGGCATCACAGGAGGTGCAGGCTGGAGAGGGGCTCTTTTGAGAATTCTCAAAAGTCGTCCCAATAAAGCTGGCACCAAGGCTTCACAGGAAACGATTATCTGATGCCACGGGAGCTTTCGAGAATTCTCAAAAACCACACCGGCACCACAGGAGAGGATTATCCGATCGCAAGGGGGCCTCACAGGGCACAATATCTCCCACGGGCCTAAACGGACCTCAATAGCATAGCATCAACTCATCATCTCACAGAGCGTATCACCTCTCACAGGCCTCACAGGATTTGCAGGTTGGTTAGGGCACTTAGGGACCAAGGCAGATAGCCGGTCAGCTGATTGCCGTCCAGCTGCCTGCCAGGGGAGGGAGGAGGACGAGGGGCGAGGAGCGAGGGGCAAGGGGCGAAGGGCGAAGGGCAAGGGGCACCAGAGGAGGGCTTTGGGACGAGGGCGATAATGAAGTATGTGCATGAAGTGAGTCACATGCGAGGGAGGAATACAGACAGAAAGAGAGGATGGCCTGAGGTGAGGTGAGTGGTGGAGGTTTGGAGTATGAAATGCGTAAGAAGGGGAATGTGCAATTCGAGGCAGTCGGAGAGAGGGAGGGAGAAACGGGGTAGAGGTACTGCAGTGGCAAGGCATGACCGTGGGGCCAGCATGTAACAAGTTTCTACGAATGAACCACCTAGGTTG